AAACTTTTTTGAATTTATAAAAATTACTACGGTGTTTTAGCGAATCGGGAATAGAATTATAAAGATGATCGTGGTGCAAAAACTATGAATTGTTATTCCACATATCCGGGCGTTTTATTTTTATCAGATTGTGTCAGACAAATCATCAGCGTCTTCTATGATTGTAATTCGGCGATTGTTCATAACCATTTCTTTCACTTTACCGTTTTCATTGGTGGTTTATGTGCTGGGGCGTCCGGAGTGTTCAAAATCTTCAACGTCTTTACTCAGGTCTTTACGATAGAACTTTGTTAATATTTCACACATTTTGTTACACTGTATTTCATTTTTCATGCAAAATTCGATACCAAACCTTCGCTCCATTTGTTTCGACAAACGAAAATCGCCAAGCACTTAAAAACACGTCTAATTTTAGCGGCTGCCACAGACAACATTAACAATGAATACTTCTGTGAATTTTATCATACTTCAGGGCATGTACACCAAAAAAAACAAAAATTTGGCAATCAGACTCTCCAAACCCGTGAAATTTAAAAATTCCCGTTATTTTCTGAACATACCTGAACAATGAATCTCAATGAATCTCTATTTTAAAAACACATTGTTGGGCTTTTTGTAATTAAACAACACAGAATATCAAGTAAGATCATTAACAGTTAACTTCAGGAAGCAACAGCAGAAATGATTTGTACAATTGTTCGCCGACCGGTAAGAACATTTACCTGCCCATCTATACATTTAAATCACATTCATTTTATAGATTTTTCAATGGCATCACTTAAATTGAATGCCTGCCTTAGGCTTCTTATTGTTTCCAATTAGAAGTGAAGCTATTATCCATCAAAAACCATAAATTAATGCAGGCATTAAATGCTATCCATATTTTAAATTGGTTTTGAAGATGATGACCATATTTATATTGACAAAAAGTGTTATGGAAGTCGTTTTCAGAGAAAAGTATATAGTTTAAGATCCCAGAGCCGTCAGATCTTTGTAATTTTAGCAAAGATAAGTTTTTTTATAAGTCTTACAAATGTAATTTCCAACGTGCTGTCGTATAAAATGAGTTTCAATCTTATTCCTGTCAGTTGGTGGTGGTACACTTGAAAATCTTGGGAAAGTGAAAATGATATCCCAAGAAGGAGTTTAATTTGACAAAATTTCTTGTACGGCTTTCATATACTAAGATACTAGTTACATATGGGATCTTTTCTAACCAAACGCCATACAAAAAATGAGACGAAAAATAAAAAAAATGTCATTTTTAGAAAAGTGACTTCTCTATGTAATTCATGTACGGCTATAGCAAAATTGTATATCAAAAACGGTCATTTATTTGGTCATGCCATTATTAATTGGATTATACAGGTCTGTAAGTATAAGATCATCTGTTCAAGAGTAAATGGACTTGAGCCCCTTGAGCCTCGCGACTAAAAAGACACTCGTCTCCGGTTAGTTTTTGGGGACCCCATGCAATAATTCAGTTAGGAAAGTCACAATAAAACAATTCATCAGATCAGAAAGTAAAAGCACCTAGAGGCTGACTTTCGACCAAAGAAGGTCAGATGTCAATCTTGCTGAAGTGCCCATCAGTAAGTTGAGGACCGCTCCGGGGGAGCGGTGGTGGATGGACGAGATGGAATGTTCTGCACACATTAACCGTGTGGTGAAGATTCCAACTCACGGCACTCAACCCGGCGGGGGGCATGGGAGGAGCCCCAATTTTGGTGTACGGGGTTGATCTAACATTTACCGTTCAATGAACCCACAAATGGCATGACAATATAAATGATTCTTCTTGATAATAAAATCCAATTTCACAAAATTCGATAAGACTATCCTATTTTTTGTAAGGCGTTTGGTTAGAAAAATTCCAGTAATAATTAATATCCAAAATGATAAAAAACGAACAAGAACTTTTGACAAATATTGTTTCACGTACACCAATTAAAGGAAAAATGTTAAAACTCACTTTCTATTTTAGGTCTAAAACAATCATACATTTTTGAGGCCCTCAAAAATTTAGTAGGGGCTCGTAGTCCATTAGAATAAAAAAATAGTACTACAGTGCTGACGTAAATATTCCCCCACCCCTCCCACTCAAATATTGAACGGAACAGGAAATCAAGGTCGGACAGAATGTACGTAAAATAGTATCATTTTACGTACTTTTCAATAAGAAAGACAATTATGTTACATCACTCGTCACCGTGAGGATGCTATCAACTTTTTTTTATAGAAAGAGAGCTCTTGTGATAGCTCGTTTGATAGGTATTTCAATTCTCTATTCAATACTCATTATTGGAAATCGAATCAGCCGTTCCTGAGTAATTAGCAATTTTATATTAGTTTAAGGAATCTGCTAACGAGGTATAAATATCACAATTTCAAGAGAAAAATGTTCAAAACTCACTCCAGTTCTTTCTAATATAGGTAATAAATGTGTTTATTGTTCACTCTCTGACAATGATGAAAACTGTTTACATTTTCTTTTTCCTTCATTATGAAATGTTCCTGGGGTAATACCGTTGCAAGCATTTCTTTTTCTATCCAAGAGTACTGAAATGAATTGCAGTTGTGTGTCGTACACATCAGATGTCACGTATTCCCTTACAAACATCCAGAGGTAATAAAAAAATCTAATTTCTCTGGTGAGGGATCAGGTTTGCCTGTCTACCGGTTTGAAAAATTGTTGAACCATAATGTGTTTTAAACTAATATTAGGTTTCAGCAAGATGAGGTACCTCTTTTTTATGATGAGTCTAACCTGAGTAAATATGTAAATACTATGTCCAACGATTTTATTATTTTTTTATCTAATCAATACTGTTGATTGCTGAGAAGATTGGTGTAATGACTACTACTTAGAACCTTCTGAATAATTTTTTAGTTTCTAGTACATTATCTACATCATAATCATCTTTTCTCATTCAATAAAACCGTTCAACAAAAATTTTTTTTACTTCAATTAGAATTTGCATCTTTTTCAAAGTGTACTACTATTCTACTAGTCAAGCCCTGTCATTTGATACCCATATTGAGGTAGTTGTGAAAAAATACGTAATCCGCCATTTTGTAGTTTCGGCAATCTTGCAATGCGGCAATGATACAAATTTATTGAATTGTATTGCCATCAAAACTAGATATGTGTACCAAATTTCATATCAATTTGTCTACAGGAAGGGGGTCAAACTTCAATTACTAAATTTGATCTGAACAAACAAGGCAGGCTGAATAAAACCGTTTAAAAATGTGGGAATCTTTCCACGATAGAAAAAGAGCAATTCATTTCATAATAAACTCAAACATATTTTAATGTATAATGAATACACAATACAAAAATATAACTATACTTGAGTATTTTTGGCATACTGAATTGAATAAAATTATGTTTTTTGCTCTTCCTGAGTGTCCTATCAAATTCGATGATTAAATGTGTTTTTGAAGTTCAATTATTTAAATTTAAATAAGAAATAAATGTGTAGCAATATATTTGAGTGTATGTAATGTGTAGGTGTAGGTAATGAATTTTTGTCCACCCTGTTCCTTGATAGGTATAAATGAATGCATTAATTTTATTATTAGTTTGAATATATATAATATAATGTATATATTTATAATGTATTTATATTTACATCAAAGTGATCCTCTCAACAAAAACAATTTCATTTAATGAACCCTTTATTCACATAGCTATTTGTAAAGCTTTTTCAACTTTCTCATTTTTGGTAACAGTTACAAACAATTTGTTTGGTGCATTTTGAGTACACCGATGTACTATTCAAAATTTTTTATAACTTTTTTTATTCTCCATACTTCCACAACATAGGTGAATACAAAAAAAATATTTGAACTTTCAGTAATGACAATTTCTATCTGGTGTTGCAATTCATATATATATCTGGTGATGCCATGCCCCCCTTTGCTGAAGCGCTACTTTGAGGATGTTTTCTGAAGGTTTTATTTTGCCAATATTCTTCAAATTACATGCCTATTTCATTTTCCAAATGAAAAAAGTGGGTGATCTGACTACAGAATTGCCAGGTATCATACTTATTAGTATCCAAATTAAAATCAAAAGATGAGGAATGTTTCTTCGTATGTCTCGTTTAGGAAATGAAAAGATAAATCTTGATTTGAGTTTTGTAGGTAATTTACGAATATATTCAATTGCCTTATTTTGCACAATGAACATTTCACATATTTGATAGTTGCAACAATATAATTCAATTACTATATTTTTTTCTGACACTTTACGACATGCTGGAACCATAAGAGAGATAGGTCAATAAGCAATAATATAAATTTGAAACATTTCTTAACATGTACCACTAATCTATTCATCTTATTGATATTTGCAAACTATAATTTTCAGTAATAAAGTTATTAAATTATTCATTTTACATACATAATCAAGTGAAACTGGTTTACAGTAACCAATGAGAAACGGCAGAGAGTTTGTCATATGTCAATTTTCACGAGATTATCAAAATTAGTATCAAAGAACTATATTTCCCAAGAATACAATACTTTAATTTTCATCATTGATCAAGACATGATGTGAAGATATTTCAGGAATGATATAATCTAGTTTAGTACACAACCTAGTTTAGTTTACACAACCAAGATGAAATATTCATAATTAGAGAGGTAGCACTTCATGATGTTTCATTATGTTTGAAAATTATGCAGCACTCCCTTGTTATAAAATTATTTCCTTCCTCCTTCTCCTTTGCATAGTATAAGAAATGTAATCTATGACACAAAATCAACCTGATGAAGACACTTCTATAGTCAACTGCTAATGAGCCAAATTAATTAGGGAAACACTCATTGAAAGTCTTCTGGCACATGGGAAAATTATTTATATTGAATTAAACAGTAGTGTTTTTGGAGATTAAATAATAATGAGAGAGATGAAAAAGGCATTTCTATTGAAATAGTCCAAGTAGGAATCCATCAAATAATAGGTCGCCCAAAGTAAAGAAAAAAAGACTTACCTTTCAGCTGCGTGCTTTCAATAGCAAACATATTAAGGGCAAGTAACTGCAGAAATCTGTTGCACGGCAGGGGAACAGGAGAGTGTTGCAAAAGTGCTCGAAATTCTTTTAGCATTTGGAGAGCAGCTTCCTGAAATGTCTCCATCCTGCAACAAACACTTCAATAAAAGAAACTTTACTAGGAGTAGGGATAACAAAAGTTAATTTATGTGGAGTGATGCATTCAACGGAATTCTAACGCTAACGATCCTCTATGCAAGTCAGAAAAAAATGCAGGAACAAGTGGCATCAATTATTTCAAATTATCACCTCTTGTAAGATGCAAAGAAAAGTGATTGTAAATATGAATAGCCAAAGCATTGACACATATTATCTGGACGTTTGAAACATTGACAAAAATCAAATTTTCAGAATTGAAAATCCTTTTGGTTATCCCTAGATTCCCTTTGTTTAAATTCTGGCAGTTTATATAACTGAGAAGTTCTGAACAGGAAATAAGTTTAAAAATAAAACAGTATCACTGAATATGTAACTGTGGAATCTTGGGTAGAAAATTCTCATGGAGAGGGAAAGGGAATATACTACTAGTAAATAAATTTTTTGATAGACCCGAAAAGCATTTTTTTAACGAACCAAATATTAATTTTGATGTCTTTTAGAACATCATCGACTTTTTGCACAGCATTTCCCATCATAACATATTCAAAATACTCTCATAAATTAAGAATCGAATATTAATTAAGACTTAATTAACCAATATAATAGATTTTTATTACAATTTATGACTTTTATAATCATTTCATTACCATCTATATAAAATTGAGTTGAGTTATTTGTTTTACAATGACCTTTTGCAATAGTATTTTCTCTGCAAATAACCCGAACTTTTCAATTTGAATTGATAGAGACGGGGTTTTTCACACTATGGTATCTTAATGACAGTGATCAACAGTTTTAAAGTTCTGTAATAGAGTAACATGAAATAAAAGTTTGTTTTACCAGTTACAGAAAAAAAAGAAACAATCATTCGTCTTTCATTTACAAAATTTTCTTATCAAAGCAATTGTAAATGTGGCATAAAAAGTGTGCATTTTTATTCCAGAAATGACTTCATAAAATGTAGTAATAATCGAAGGTATTTCTGTTAAGGAATTTTAATAAGTAATTAAGTGTCAAAGGTGATTGTCCAACATACCACAGGAAATTATTAGATAGATAGATATGTGTGAATAAACATATGTTTATTCACTTCACAGAGTATTTGTAGTGCTACATGAAAACAGTGGAATACGTTGACTGTAAAAGTACGTCACAAAATACAAAACTTCAAAATACATTTCAAGAATATGGAATTTCGTTGTCTGTATATATAAAAGTAAATGCTAAAAAATTTAAATAAATTACACTAATATTTTAAATAGAAAAATTTTGCATCTTTATTCAACTTGAAATAATTTCTCAATACTGTAAGGCATCAGATACACAAATACGATACAAGAGGAAGAGATGACTTGGTTTGGGATGAATGTAGGCGAAAAGAAAGTTGTCAATAGAGCAATAAAATCCTATTCCCAAGATAATACAAATACAAAAGGGCGTTTTTGTTATAGTAGAGAGTCAATCACAGCCGCGAAGCTACCTTATAAATGAAAGAGTCTTTAATAAGGCAATATTTTGGAATATGCAAAAATAAAGTTTTTTTGGCGAGTGACGTTTGCGTTAATTGAAAACCGATTTTGATGTTTCTCTATGATACATATAGTTTCAATAATAAAAATTAATATTAGAATCTCGTGGCTTGTCTTTACACAGGAAACGTAGAGCTCTTTTCTGTAAAACTGAAATTGATTGCAATGTTGTCATAATACGTGCACCCCAGAAAGGGATCCCATATCGTAGGTGAGATTCTATGAGAGAGTGATATGTAACTTTGGCAGCAGCACATATATTATTGAAGACAATCTACTGCATATATTGTCTATCTGAATTGTCGACCTAAAAGTATCATCAATGTTGATGCCCAGAAACTTCACCGAGGTACTGCAAATAATTTTTTTGTTATCGAGTGTTACGTGATGTGATGTTTCTAAACTGTTGTTGGTTTTGAATATGAGGCAGTCGGTTTTTCCTTTATTTAGAATCAACTTGTTCTCAAGAAAATATTCTTTGTATTTTGATTGCTTCACTTTCGTTTTTGATTAAATCTGGTAAAATGTCACCAGTCAGCAGGAGATTGGTGTTATCAGCATAGTTGAATATTACTGGAGTTTTTTCGCAACACCAAACCGTTATTTTAACACTTCTGCAAGAGGAGGATCTTCCTCTTGAAGATGATCACTTGGTGATCGAAACACGTGTCGAGGTGTTAAAATAACGGTTTGTGTTGATGTTTGGTGTTGGAAAAAAATCCAGTAATATTCATTACTACACCAAAGGTTCCAAACACTGCATCACATCAGCAAAGTTGATCAGATGAGCAGAATTTACATATTTTGTAGCCTCGCTGATGTCCTTGATAAAAAAAATGAATAGTATTGGGCCTAGAATACTATCCTACGGGATTCCTATCGATGTAGCCAAGGCTTTTGATCTAACTGTTTTGGTATTCTGGTTGAGTTGTACTATCTGCTTTCTATTTTTGAGATATGAGTTAAACTATACAGTGCATTTCATCTCTCACTAGAGAAGAGAAACCCTTTCGAAAATTTAAATAGCATGGGCTGGTGAGTGATAGCTCATCCGATATAGGGTGTTTTATTCTCTATTAAACTGAGCGAAGGAATTAAAATTTGCTACATTAATTCAAAAGTTATGATTGTTTAAGAATAACGACATTTAACGTAGCGCAATGCCCCTTAGAATTAAATATTCGGCCCTATATGATATCGGTTTTGGTTCAGGCGTCACATAAGACGTATTTGTCATTTGCGTAGATATTAACTGCACGTTTTTGTATGTGTTTTTGGATGTTTGAGGATAAATGGTCAAAACAAGAAACTGGCATCACGGAGAGTGCAAGTCAGTTTATTCTAGCTGTTAGTTGTGCATGCCATTCATCTTCAGACAATGGTTGCACCACGTGCATTAAATGAGAAATGTGAAGCGATTGTTATTTTTGGTGAAGCTCGTCGCAATCATCATGAGGGTGTACGAATGTTCAATGAACGTTTTCCAGATCGCCCTATTGATAGACATTATTTCAAACAATTAGTGGAAAAATTTCATGAGAACGGTAGTGTGCAAAATAAAACACGTTCTGGGTGATCAACTATATGGGAGGATAAACAAGTGGACAATATGAGCGAAATTGAGAAGAACTGCTGCCTTAAATTATGAGGTTTCCCAGATGATGGTATTCAGAGTTGTAAAAAAAAATGTCATCCCTACAAAATAAAAATGTTGCATGAACTGACGAACGATTATACAGACCGCCATCTAGAATATTGTGAAACTGTCTCTAACAATATTTTGCAAAATTCCAGCTATTTCAAACACATTTGTTTCAGTGATGAGGCTATTTTTTTTAAACGGTCACGTGCATATACAAAATGTGAGGTACTATTCCGATGAAAATCCTCGACTTTTTGGCGAAACTCACACCCAGTTTCTGCAAAAAGTTAATCTTTGGGCAGGAATACTGGGTGACCACATTATAGGTCCGATATTCACTGAGAAAAATCTGACTGGTGCTCTCTATTTGGAAATGCTGGAAACAGTGATAGATCCACTGATAGTGGCAACCGTCGAAAATGAATTGAACTAATTTGTCATGGACATTATTTTGCAACAAGATGTATCTCTTCCTCATTTTACAGTTGCTGTGAGGACTTATTTGAATACAATTTATGCAGGACAATGGATCGGGCGCCGAGGATCTGTGGAATGGCCTCCAAGATCACCAGATCTAATTCCTTTAGATTTCTTCCTATGGGGTTCTCTAAAATCTAAAGTCTACGAGACTCAGTGTCACTCTATTCAGATGTAACGTGCACGGACTACGGAAGTGTGTGCAACAATTACCGCCATACTCTGCAAAGCGTCAGGACTGAAACTAAAAATAGACTCTATTTTTGCCAGGAGGTCAACTGGGAACATTTTGAACATTCACTATAATAACAGAAAAAGTTAGTGTTAGTTTAGTTGCCTTCCAGATGAAGTTATGGGTGAACTATTCATACAAAAATGTACACTGTAGAAATCAAAAATCGATTTTCCTAAAAGTCCAGTAACGAGTTAGATAGGAGGAGGGGGGTAACACTTATGATGCGCACTGTTTTTTTTTTTTTTCGTTAATCAGCTGTCGCCCCCATACGAACGACAACTCTCAGAAGTTGAGAAACTTGTGCGAGCTAAGGACTAACGAGGTCTTTTAACGTGTGATTTCTATCTCGGTTGCAGAATCATCCCAGCTTCAACCAGATAAATTCTCTCGATAAAAATATCTGGTCGGGACGGGAATCGAACCCACGGCCTTCCGATCAGGTGCACTACCACCGCGGCCAATTCCACAACACTGTATATCATTAGAATATCATGAAATTTGACATTCTATATATAAATAGAAGTTACTTTCGAAGAACAAGTGAATTGGGCCCTGATAATGATGTGAAAAAGATTTTCAAATTATTTCAGTAATTTTCTAGAAATTAATTGGAGGAAGAGATTATTTATTCCACATTTTTCTGTTCAAAAGTTTTCCTAAAGACAGTGTCACATATATTATAAAATACTAATTATGTTATTGAAAAAACTCACCCAATTTTTGTTATAAGTTTTCCGTGGACATGGAGGTAGCTGATTACAAATCGTTTGTTTACCTGCAATAAGAAACCACTATAAATACAGTGTGACACATTTGATATGAAGACACCCATATAATTAAGTCATTTTTGAAAATAGAGATTTTATTTTTGGTACAGGCATAGACCTTCATCGGTTGCACTTTTTGCAATTCATAGCCTGAGTGACAGCCTCAAACCCAGCCTGTGATTCCGCGAAATAGGCAAATTCTCGATATTTTGCTTCGTGTTGAAGATACCAAAGTGAGTTACGTGAAAACCCTACATACCGAATTTCAACCCAATCTTCGAAATTTGATTTTTTTTGTAATTTTCGTATTCAAGTTCGATTTTCAATTATTGGTTCAAATACAGAAATGATAACATAGTAAAAATCAATTAAATTGATGTATTTTTCTCATTTAGAGTTATTAATTGAAAATCGGACTTGAATATGAAAATTAAAAAAAAAAAATCAGAATTTGAATTTTGCGTTGAAATTTGGTATGTAGGGTCAAAATCGATTTCTAAGCAACTGCAATGAAAAAAATCTATTTCATGATCATAACATTTTGGAATCTCTCTGGAATATCGGAAAAACTTCAATTTTACGATCTATTATGAACATTTCACATATTCAGATAATACATGAAATTCCTATAGCAAAGTGTCAACAGATTTTTCAATATCTCTGCAAGTAAAGATCCAAAAAAAAGTTGATTTCAAAATTGTCGGTTTTTCTTGTATATCTTCGAAACCAAAAAATGCTGGACTCGATTTTTTGGGTATCTTTCAAAACTACTCGAAAATAGGCACATTTAGATAGATAGATAGATAGATAGATGATTTTATTAATCTCCATAAATCATTTCATGACATGAGATAAGTCCAATGGTAGTCATAAAAATAAGATAAATATAATAGTTTGAATAGTCAGGTATTTACACATAAAACATTAAATAATTGATTTAGCATACACATACAAATATAAGTCGAAACTTACAAAAATTGTTGAAAATATAAAATAAAATGAAATGAAATGTACATATAAAACAAATTAAAAAGTGTGGAAAATTTGTCTATCGGTCATATTCAACTCAATGTATTCAGTTAGTGAATAAAAGGAGTGATGGAGCAAAAACTTCTTTAGGTCGGATTTGAAAATGTTTAAATTTTTTGCTAATTTTATGCATTCAGAAAGCAGGTTATAAAAGTACCCTCCGGCATACAGGGGAGATTTTGTGTACCATGTTTTGTTAAATTGATTTAGGTGTAAGAGTTTTTTATATCTAGTTTCGTACTTGTGAAGATCGCTATTTTTTGTAAATTTATCTTTATTATTATATGTATAAATTAATAACTTATATAAGTAAACACACGGGAATACTTCAGTTGACCTACCCCATGTAATGATATTACAGCTGATTGTCGTGTAGACAAGAGCGTAATACATGTTGATCAAGTGATTTCTATGAAAGTTGAGACTAGTAAAAGCATAATAGAGTTTATTAAGTTTTCTACATATGTTATCAATTTGGTTGTTGAAGGTTAATTTGTAATCCAACTCCATGCCAAGGAATTTTGTGCTTTCTGATGCTAAGATATCAGTGTGGCCCAAGTTGAACTTCATCTTGTTGAAATGTTTTTGAGGACTACTGAATTGGATAAGGACCATTTTTCCATATTATTAATGAGGTGATTTCTCTCACACCATTGAGTGAAATTCTTCACTACTAGTTGTATATCATTCATCAAGTCAAATGTATCATTAGCAGTTAATATAATTGTTGAATCATCTGCATAAAAAACGTATTTTCTTAACTGTTACCGTTTAGGAGATACTCATGTATATACTTGAACTTGAATAGCCCACTATAAACAAATTTACATATTGTGGCAAAGCAATTTTCTGAGTTTGTTGGTCGTGGTCTGCAAATTTTTTTAACTATATTTCATCTACTACTGCAGTAGACATTATCAAAATGATGAGGCAACAGGCTAAGTGCTTGTGTTGTCCACTCAGCAGATACTATGTTACTGGAATTTGTGTCTGGTTAATTCCATTGGCAGTGGGTGTGGCTTCGTTTCTATTAGTTCGTTCAAATGGCCTTGTGCAAATAGTGTGCAGCTATAAGGACAAGTAATCGGATTTTATCTATGTTGATTCCCATTTTCTTTCTATTGAAATTTTTCTTTGTGTTTATGAATTTCTACTGCTTTCCCATTTATTCTAGTATAGTAATTCTGAGTTGTGTCTAGTATTTGTGTTTCTTCAAACAAGATCATGTGAGTGAGTGCCTTCTCTCAGTGCATGTTTGGCTACATACCGACAAATTATCTGGGGCTGAATATGCACTTAAAGAAGGCACTTGCATGATCTTGTTCGAAGAAATTCATGAACACAAAAAAAATTAATAGAAAGGAAGGGGAAATTACCATAAATTAAATTTGGCTACCTATCCTAAACTGGACACAAATAAGGTCATTTAATCCAATCAATATAAATGAATCCACGTCCACCCCCAATGGAATGAAACCAAAGACAAACCACAGTAAGATAGTATCTGCTATGAGAACCCAAGCACTTTGTTAGTTTCCTTATCACCTTTGATAATGTCTACCATAGTAGTGAACGAAATATCAGAAGTATCACCGACAACAAACCAGGAAAATAGCTTTTCCACAGTTACATACGGCCTAGAAAGTTGACAACTTTAGATTTACATATTGTTGATGATTCATAAAAAAATGATCTATCCAATAAACCTTTTGAGAATATCTAGTACTGACCTCAACACTAGTCAACTCTGATAAATCTTCCGCATCAGAATCATTCTGATCCAAGTTGGCTTGTGTCGTCCTGTGAACTCGTCTTCCACCACCTGGGTGAATCCAAGTTTCTTTTCGCAGAGAACTCGGAGCACTAGTTGATTCGTCAGATTCTTTCTGTTTCATTTGAAGTCTTTGACGTTCCAACCTCTCCTCCCGTCGTTTTTTCTCGCCTTGTTCATACTAAATGAAAAAAAACAATATATATTCAAGAACATTCTAGTAACAAATATAATAAAATAATGCATAACATAAATGAAGTAATATCTAACATATGTTCAATAAACATAAGCGTTCCTTAAGGACACGTTTTAGGTCCAATTTCATACCTATGACATATACAGATATACAAAACATTCCATATAATGTGAAATTAAAAATCAAATACAACAAATTACTCAAGAAGTTTTTTTTCTATATTGATGATATACTCATTGAAAAAATATCTGCCATTATTAAAACACAGTGAAAATGCTCTAAATTGAATGACTATTAACCATACGATTCTCATATGGATAAAACATTTCATCAACATATGATCCCCATATGTGAAAATACCTTCAACATTTCTGCTGTTCATAGGTGAATTTTGTGAATATTGAGAAAGTCGTCTTTAAGATGAGGCTCCATCCACAAAACTCTGCTTAAATAATTTTTAAATTACAAAACAATTCAAACTCAAGCCGTTACTAAATGTACAACGTTGTTATTTATTTTATGATTTACAAAAAATCAAATCAAACCCTATTTTACTAACAAAATTAGTTTATTAACACATTTTAAACTCAGTCAGAGGTCCAGTCATATTAAGAAACAGCATAACCTCTTTCGTCAATGCAAGAACTGTAGTTGGCAATGAAAAATTAATATAGGGATCACTCTGTTGTTGATATCCGGAAAGAAAGGTTTTGGCTTTCTACTTCTCCATCTTTATAAAAAAATGTGGGAATATCATCACGTACCGTCATGGATGACATGAGTAGATTAAACTCATTCGAAACATGAAGTCGTAATTCAATGAATGAAATAACTGCATGGACCTTTCTTAGAACAAACCAACAATATCAACATCAAAATTAAAAGTGAATACTTTTCTGCAGTTGCTTATAAAAAATGAAAAGCATTTCACTATGAAATCACTTGAATATAGGAACAAAATTTCTTTCTGCTGAGTTGATAAAAATTCATGAAAGGAGTCCATTAAAAAGAAAACAGAAAAATACCATCTGTATTTCATATAGAAATTGAGGTAATTAGTAAATTTGAGAAGCCTATAATCTTTTGAAATTCGAAGGGCATCCAACTCTCCACAATCGTGAAGTAAGCATTTATTGGGTCTGAGAATAATGTGCCTTGAGAGTACCTAGCCAACCAAGAACGACAGCGCTCTGCATTTTGAAGCAAACCGATATTATCTTGAGATAAGAGGGTAGTGAAGGCATCATTCCATCTAGGACTCCTATAATTAGAACAATCGTTTTAATGAGTTGGTTAGGGTAGAGTCTACGGAGCCTTATTAGCTTGTATCTGCCTGAGGGTTGGGAATGATTAGTTAAGATAAATTCGGAATCCACAAAAGATTCAATAATACCCTCCAGATACAAACCGGTGTCTCGTCAAAACCGTAAATATATCGCTGGATATAGACTGCGATGGATATAGGCATATGCTGGGTAAGTCGACAGCAAATGCATTAGGGTCTCAGGCGTCTTGTGGCAAGTCCTGCATTTGGTATCAGGAACATCTATCCCATCCCACAACTACTGTACACTAAGTTGTTAAAAATGTCATTATGACAGGCCTTGATAAACCTCTCAGTTTCCAACTTTGGTCCATTCGACTAAGAAAAGCACAAGTCGGGTACTTTGATAGGCTGAGTTAACCGATGTTGTTGAAGGGGATCGGCTCATCTTCGTGTTATCGAATAATGAAGTGACCTTTTGCTGAATGGGTTCCAACTCGGTGATAGAGTTGTGGTCACCTCCTACAGTGTCGACAACTAAACAACTGCATTCAATTCCTGCACTTTCATGGTCCCAGACCATGCACAAAAGGGGATCCGAGCTCGTGTTGATTTTATAGGCTCCAGCCAGTACGAAGTCTACGGCCTCCCTGTTGTTGGGAGAAGTATAATAGTGGAACGAATGATTCGGGATACAAACTTCAAACTCCGTTTAGAGCTTCCCTAGCCAAAAAGGAAGTAACTCAGAACATTTTTTTCAAAGTTAAGGTCCCTTAGGAATCATTCAGTTCCTTTTGGTCGAGTTGTTGGGGACTCATAGAAGAACTCACATTGATATGTGTTTTGAGTGAGAAAGTGGACGAGCCTATTGTAGGACAGTATAGTACAGAAATAAAATAGACAGTACGAAATAATAGCACAGTCGCTGGTGGGGTTTCTCTAAACCAATGACTCTCCAAATTTCAGGCATCTCTTACGTTCGTCTACTGGCGTAAATGTTCGATACAATATCCATGTTGATAGTGTCAAACTGAAGCTCAGTAAACATATATATTTATTCACTTCAAAGATTAAAACAGTCTCTCTTGATGTTCTCAAGCTTTTATACCACAGTTTAACTCAGTCAGTAACTTCATATGGTCTTGAACAGTGGGGCTTATCAGCTAAAGCTGATGAAGTTTTTGTTATTCAGAAAAAGGTAATCAGAATTCTGGCTGGTGCATGTTCAAGTGAACACTGCAGGCCATTATTCATTCGTTATGGTTTATTAACAATGCCTAGTTTGTATATCTACCAAACTCTGATATATATACACACATCGGAAAAGTCTAGGGACATTTTTTAAAATGGCAATCATATTTTTTTATATCGCTTTACTCAACTACACCAACCTTATAGTAGATTGACAGTATATAAAAATTACCCAATGTGCTTTGGGGTTAAGCTGTATAATAAGCTTAGTGAGGACATTAAATCCTCGAATATCAATGTCTTCAAAAGGCGACTCAAGAATGTTTTATTGCAAAAAGCATACTACTATGTGGATGAGTTTCTCCTTGAATCCTAATTTGATTGTAGCTTATTAACTTTTTTTTATGTATGTTTCATGTTTTATATTGACTTTTTTATGTTTGTTTCAACTGTTGAATCAGCCAGTATTTTATGATGATGTTATGTTTTTTGTCTAACGCGATTGTGAAGGAACACTGAATCAATAAATGTTTGATTGATATGTACAACGTGGAGCTCACGTGTTGTCATGTTCCCAAGTTCAACTCCAAAATAAGATCGATAGGCTTTTCTCCACAGACTTGCTCAAACATAAAGTGATATCAAAATATAAACTATGACTATGAGCAAGCGTGAATTTAGTTTAAATGATTACTTCAGTATACAGTTCAATACCAGCTAAATGATTTGAAGCAAAATGCTGTTAGCAATCTCGTGTGTTCAAGATAAAAGGTAAAACTATGACACACCTCTATACCAAGCAATGATACATATCAAGAAATGAAAGAGGCTATAACTATTTGCATCATTTTCTTATTCATAGTTATGAGTGATTTTTAAGGGAAACATTGATATAAGTTGGTTTGCGGATTTGGAATCAGCCCCGGAAAAACCCCCTTCAAAAGCTGTTACTTTGCTCGTACTAAAGAAAAACAATTTGTTGGTGCTCTAAATAATCGAATCCATTCAAAATTTAATAAAAACTTTATGAAATGTTATCAAAAAAATTGAAAATATAATTCATATTGCATTTTTATTGAAGTGAACTGAGGGTGATTCTCCTAAAACATTCATAAAGAAATCATTCCTCAATAACAGAAATAAAATTCTAAACCAGTTATATGATTGAATTAAATTATACAAAATTGTTTGGGAAGTTTTTAATCTGTTGAAAAAAAATGTAAAAAAAACCCAGAAATTAGCTTTGACACAATTATGTGTATTATTATATGATGCCCTCGTCTAGGGAAAAATATATAATAATGATAATATCTAAAGTGAACTCATAACAGCATCTGATGTGCTAAAATATAAATAACATACATACATACGTTCATTTGATGAAGATACTATTTGAAGATGGTCAGCATGTGGAACAGAAAGAGAAAATGAGCATAAATGTTTTATTGATGATTATAAATTAGTCATTCAGTTAATATAAAGAACACTTCTAAAAACAAGGTATAAATGGCAATTTTTATTGAAATATTGTGGATCATTTCTTTTCTCGCAAAAGAGTACTTGAAAGCCAACAAAATTCCACCTTATATGATGCATAATGTTGATAAAAATGGTATCGGTGAGTTGTTTAGGGAATTGAATTGATTGATATTTGATGAAAATCCATATCTTATTCAAGTAACACTTTATTGTAACATTTTCATTGATCAGTTTACAAAACCGCCACATGTGTTTCACTATACATTAGCTACCTTAGGCGCGTTTGTGTGGACATATGAACAAGAATTTATTGTGGGTCACACAATTCACTCTATTGAATAAGTTCAACTTTTTGGTGAAGTCGACTAGTTGGTGAATGATCTACCAAGTAACAAAAACAAAGGTTTGGCTTTGAAATTAAGTTTCCAGTGAAGCATTTCAGGGAGGTATTATTCCATTGCTGCGGGGTACTAAATGCACACACCAACCATGAGACACTCTTCTAACCCTCTTTGATAACCTGTAGCCATCCAGGCTTAAATGTGCAGCGCTGTGTAGCAATAATGGCATATTCCAGTTAATTCGTCAATATTGAAGTTGACTCATGTTCAAGGTGCAATATTTCTACATTGGTGACCGCAGCAACCTTTCCATATGAGGTCATCGACGATACATAAAATTTAGCCAAGCAGGGTTTCTCTCATCTCTGGTTTTTTTAAATCATCGTTTGAGCTTAAGCATTTGCTGACCTTTGCAGGGAAAGTTTGTTTTTGATGGAAAATAGATTCATAAGATATTCTTCTATTTAGGGAATGACTAAGTCTAAATCTGAGTGGTGCCTTCAGTTCCCCAGCAACCCCCTACCTACGACTGATGAAGATGAGATTTGGACAGCTGAACCTTTGTTGAAGGTAGACTGTGATATGACCAGAAGATCCAAAAAACTTAGTCCCTTCTTTGTTGCACCACCTGGTTTTTCAACAAGATCAGAAATTTGAGTACTGAGAAGGTCTCGATCTTGATCCATGTTCTTGGGATGACGATTGGGGCCATTTAGTTTCATCTGTAAAGTCAAATTCTTTTGCTACTTGAGAGTCCATAAAGGGTCTCACAAGTAGCCAGGGAAAGGTTGTCCATTACGGCAGAGTCCCGCCTTATTAAGACAATACTTTCTATTTCGATTGGCAAATATAAACGCCATCCACTCGCCTATCGAGACAGTAAAGTGGAAGTTACAGTGTGGTACGCGGAGCGAACTAGTAAGGCGATAGACATTCGAAAAATAGTTGAAATGTTTGTTGTATTCAAATTGAAATAAAGTTAAGTTTGATTATTGTTCAGTGTTGTCAATTATCGGTCAACCCATGGGAAAAAACGTAACAGTATCATACGGAACTATTCAGTCAAATTTCAGAAATGAGTTATTCAATTTTCAATATGCAGAGAAAAAGTACTCCACAGGAAAATCATTCTAAAATTTTCTCCAGAAATTTTGAAGTTTCCGTAGTAGGCTAGCTAAGCAAATGGCAGATTACAACTCTTTGATCTGAATATACGATAGTGTAGAAAATACTGCCAAAAATGGAGTTTCTAATTTTTAAGGCTGCACATCGCCAAAATGAAGAGCAAGAGGGTGAATAGGAGAATCTGCCACAATTTAATATTATGTAGTCTCATATGTTAATGACTTCACTATGACTGACATATATGGTGGTTCAACTCTTTCCACAGATTATACAAAACTATTATGGATTTCGAAGATTGAGAAATATATAAAGAAAAAATGTCAAGGAAACATTCTCCAATTCTCTTCAAAGTCAATAGGTTTCACGTCATTGATGCCAAACCAACATTTTGAACATTCAGTAATTATTGAAAATCAAAGAATTGTTAGTGAAAGATATCAATATGCTGAATTTGGTTCATTATCATTTCAAATTAAAACTATTTTGTATATTATTACAACAGATCTATGTCAGCAAATAACAATTTTGGAGTTTTATGTGAAAACGACAAAATGCCACTTCTAACAGTGTATGTATCAGTATAAAAATTCAGATTTTGAATTTGCACTAACCTTTTTTCTGTTTTCGTCTAATAGAGTAACAAGTTTTTCTCTAGCTGACGGAACAGGATTTGAAGACATCAAACTCCTCATATAATAATATACCGCATCAAGTTTACGTCTCTGAAAAGAAAAATAACAATGAACTCAATTTGCACTAACCTTTTTTCTGTTTTCGTCTAATAGAGTAACAAGTTTTTCTCTAGCTGACGGAACAGGATTTGAAGACATCAAACTCCTCATATAATAGTATACCGCATCAAGTTTACGTCTCTGAAAAGAAAAATAACAATGAACTTAATTTGATTGTAAAACATTTTCAAAGTGAAAAGGAATAATAGATGAATAATTGCATTTCTTTCATTGCAAATAGTGTAAATTTTAAATTTGTGTAAATAATTTCAAACTATATCGTCACACCTGTCTTTTCTAGAAATATTATAGAAACTCCCAAAAATTTTGCAGATGTCAACAAGAAATATGAAACTGATCAACACTGGTTCAAAATTTGGCTACCAGATACTGAGGATTCTATTTCTCAGTTCGATGGAGAGTTGATGTGTAACCGAGTATGTATGCTCTCTAAGTAAATGTGTAATACAGGTTGCATCAATACCAAACCATGTGATCAGTAATTTAGTGCATCAGCACAAATGTTGAATTCTGATGATTGTCATTTATACAAGTGAGACAACTGGCGAAAACTCATTTTGAACCCATTTTTTCAAACTCAATATCTATTGAAAACACTTTCCTATGCCTGAATTAAAATGCCATCCCACAGCATGTGTTTCGGTAACCAAGTTAGCATAATCAAAAAATGAGTAAAACTAAATATCAAAACAAACTTAGAGCTTTTATATGCATTTGGGTGAACCATAACCATTACCAAATGGTTGTCATTAATGAATTATTATTAGCTATTGTGTATATTGATGATTACTAGTCATGGTATCTAATCTACCTAGTTTCTACCTGTAATTATCATGTAAAATAGTAAACAACAGGGTCTTTGTAATGAGACCTTTGTCGCACTTCATAGATCTCATTCCACGTTGCTATATTCTCATGATGTTTGTAAAAACACTCGATGAGTCTGTTCTGTGCAAATTTGTGTGAGCTGGATGTACTTCTCTTAGACTACTTCATCACATAGTTCATTCATTTCTAAGATCCTCTAGAAGCGGTGAATTGGCGCGCTGTGAATAGCTATGATGCTCCTTATGTGGCTCGGGGAGTTATTAATATTGCCTACCCAGGACACGAGGCTAATGACCAATGCAGTCGATGACACCCAAAAAAAAAGATCCTCCAGATATTCAACTGTCATTCCCAAGTATCCCCATAACGAAAACAATCGAATATATGAAGAAGCTTTTAGAAATAAATTATAGATAAGATTTAGATTACTTTCCACAGACTTGGATCCGATACGTGGAAGGTGTATTGGCCATTTGCGACACACACACGAGTAAGAGAAAAGATTTTGTCTTGTCTTAACAACAACAACAGATTCCTAAATATAAAGTTCACATTTGAAATTGAAAATAAAGAAGAGCTANACGTTGTAGTCTGGATGATTCGTATTATAAATTGTTGCAGCAGTTTTAGCACATTCATTATTTTGATAATAGGTTGTAACAATTTCTATTCTTTCTTCAGTAGAATAAACCATGTTGGAACACAGTGAACAAGGATAACTGAATAATAATTCGTGAAGAAGTGACAGTGGCCAACTATCTACTTTTTGTTCTGCAACAACTAGATTCAACAAAAACTACCAGTGCAGAAAAGACTTTCAGACTACTAATTAAATACATTCTACAAATCTAGAAGACCTGCGACAGAGTATTGTTTGGGAATACCGATTTCGGACTCCGGACATATTAAAAAATGTAAGGAACGCTTTCGAAAGTAGACTGTATTATTGTATGGAACTAGATGGAGGCCATTTGAACATTTTATCCGTGAATTGTGTTGCCATTAATATTAATTTTATTGATTTCCTCGATTAAATAAGCAACAGCGAATTTTCTGTTCTTTCTTAAATAAATCGATCAACATTTGATTTCTCAATAACAAATGAATCAATTTCGAAAAAAATTACAGAAGTAATAGTGGGACAAAAGACCTTTCATATGATGTATCACTCGACCCCCTATGCCATTGAAAAAACTTGGGGGGGGGTAGTTGCTGGCCGCAGGGGGGCAAAGTTTCGGGTATGATTTCCATATTAGAATTAATCTCCCTGAAATAAAAATTGACGTGTTCTTTGAAATTTTCGATCGCACGTCTGTTTCTGACTTACAGGGGGGGTCAAGTTTTCGTTGGAACGCTCTATGTAAGAAGCACTTTGAGATATATTCCTGACAGTTCCCACCACTGTCAACAATTAAAAATGGTAGGACTACATTTTCTTGTTCATAAGCTGGTCACATTCCCCTTGAGCAATGAAAACTATGATATTGAAAAAAAATTATCAAGCAAATAGTTGGAATTTAAGGTTATGTTTGGAACATAGTGGAGAAGTTAATTAGGAAAAGAAAATTCAAGTACTGTTCGTAAATTGTCGACTTTTCAAAAAGATGAAGACTCAAAATGTATAGTTCTATAGTATAGAACCAAAATATACTAAAGGATTGGTCCAAATTTTCAAAAGATCGAACACTCGTACACTTCAGCAAGTTTTGAAGAACCTAAAAGGCAAGAAATAAGTTGTGAGAATGAAAAGTATGTTAATCAAACTAAGTGGACTTTTAATAACTCACTACAAAGAACATGTTTCACATATTCGATTCCATAGACCAGAGAAGTCTAATGTCGGTGAACATGGTTTAGAAAAGGCCACAGAATAAGTGAGGAATGTTTGAAATTGTTGAGAACGTTACAAGACAACAGGTTTTTAGGTGCATTCAGAAATTTAAAAATCGAATAATGTGGAATGAAATCTGGGAACAGCAACAAATGTACCATCACAAACAGCACTTTTTTACTCTTTTACATAATAATTACAAATGAGGAACAAGGTAAATATTATGTAGTCATTATATAATATAATAAATACCATAACAGTATAACACAAGCACCAATATAAGGATTTCGTAAATGACAATCATCTTGTTACATCATTTAATGACCCTCATTATCGTATTTAGTAACACTCTCTTCCCCTACCAAAATTAAATATTAAAATTTAAGGGTAATAAATTAATTCCAAATTCTTCAAATGTAAAAAATTATGTGACTGATTCACAGAAAGTTGTGACATTATATTATAAAATGTGTCAAAGGAGAGCTAGCATGAAAAAATGAGAAACCGTCATCAAAAAGGTAAACTTATACGGGATGATTCTTTTTCTTCAAGTTCATATAAAAAATTTAAATTGTTGATGGTTACTAGAAGACCAAACGTTGAATTCACAATGTTTAAATGCCATCTTATACAGCTTGAAAAGTGGCAATGAGATAGTGTTTGTGACTATGGTAACGTCAGAGAAAAATTAAAAGGAAATTCGAATATTTCCAAAACAAACTGGAATATTCTAAACTTATGAACTTCATTTAAATAAGCTCTAAAATAATAAATTTTTTACTATTCACCGACTTTGTATCTTTCAAAGGTTTCCGATTTTCCCATGCTGGCTTTAAGCCATGACTTCCTCAGGCAATGAGTTTCAAAGCCATGACATTTCTTAAAAACACTAGAGGTTTTTTACTGAGTTAACTTACCGCATAAACAGCCAAAATTGCCAACTGATTATAAGGTTTCCCATTCTTAGGATTAATTTCATGGGACTTGATATACCATCTGAAATAAAAATTAATCAATATCTGCAATCCAAAAAAAAGAGTTATAACATACTGTCTACACTTTCCATAATTTGAAGTCTCATTCACCTCCTCTCTGTACCTGCCAAGGTCGCCCAAAAACAAGAACAACTTCTGTGCTGACACCAGTGCTAAACCAACCAACCCTAACCCCTTATGTGATACTGTGTTATTATCACCCAAGAAGTTGTTTAACTTGAACTCGTATGTATCCTCCAATACAGACAAAAGCCGCTCAAAGTAGTTACTCCCCTCGTCTATTAGGTAAAGGAGGAAATCTTTATACTTCTCCTTATTATCAGGATCACTTTTGATGGCTTTCCTAGTCACTTCAATAATATTGTGATATAAGATCTTCCAGAAGTGCTGCTCAACATTTTCTGACTGACAAAATTTGATTGCTCTGCAGATGAGATATTGGAGGGCTTCCTTTAGAAATAGTCGTAAGTTGTCAACAGTATCCCAGTTGATTAAAAGGAATCCCTTATTGATGATAGATTGTAATTCACTGTCAGCTCTCTTCACGTCTCGCAATAGGGCAGGATAATGACAAGAATGAAATTCCTCGCTGTTTTCATCATACCAAGGTGGTCTCATATTACCAAATTGGTCAGTGGTGTATATCTGAGGAGGAGGAGTGTCAGCATTATCAGAGAATCCAGGTGTACCTCTAGAATTTGATGATTTCACTATTATGGGTTTCGTTGGATTGTTAGGGTCAAAGAGAGTCTTCTGTTGTCCAACTGATTGTCTTGAGGTTTCAGGGTATCTGAAGTTGCACAACAAATGATAGTATTACTTATTGTTGAATACACTTCTAAACTTTAGACTAACTCTCACATAATAACAGCATAGGAAACCTTCATTCGAATTATATCAAATTATCAAAAATGTTGAAGAAAAAATTAAAACATAGTAATACATGTTTTCATGTAGGGACACTGTAATGATAACATATCCCAGATATGATAAAATATCATAGATATGATAACATATTCCAGGTTTCAAATATGACAACTTCTCAAAGTTGAAAATTACTCTACCGATCAAATTATATACGTAATTAGAAAATAATGCCATTTAAAGTTTACTCACCTGGGATGATCTTGAGCACTTTGAGTATCTATTCTGATTGGTTCCCTTTGTTGGGGAAGAACAATAACACCTGCCTTCTTTGAACTAGGATCGATGTTCTTGATTTCTTCAATATTAGTCCGGTTGTCCCTTTCTGAATTATTTCTGCTTCTCACTATTTCATCCCTCCAGTTGCCTGTTCCAGAGTGTGCAGGGTGATGTCTATCCCAACTATTGTCTCTACTAATGTTTCTGGAACTGTTCTGATAATGATCATAACTTGTCTCTCTTTGGCTTTCTCGAGAAGTCTTCCTGGGACGAGTCTCGAAAGGAACTTTGAAGCTATCCCGGCTGTCTATGCTGGTTGTAGAGTTTTGTCTACTTCGACTGTGTCTGTTTCGAGAGTTACTGTTCTCTCTTGCACCACTTCTGAGACCAATGAGAAAACAGGATTTAGACAGTTTCATTACACTCTAAACTAAACTAGTATTGTTAATTTTTTAGTAGTATACAACAGCTAAAGAAATTAATTTATTACAAAAGGCACCTCCCAAAACTTTTTAAACCATTCGCTGAACTCACCTATTACGGTTCCTTCTTCGATTTTTCCTATAAGAAAAACTACGTTCAAAATAATAATTTCATTAAATCAAGATTTTAGTGAGATGAAAAAATTTCACATAATAAAAAAAGTAGAAGCACTTGTAGCTAAAACTTTTATGTGTCAGAACAGATTTGGGGTTTTTGGATTTGGTTAATTGGGTTCATAAGAATTAGGTCGTGGAGTTTTACATGTTGAATTTATGTAATCAATACATGAAATAAATTTCAATTGTCCATACCTACAACACAAAATAAGATATCTGAAAAATCCAATTGTAAACTTGAAGCAATTGGCCATCAGGAAATATGAATTCAAAAATAATTCTTTTCTCAATATCGACAAAGAATAATTTTTCCTTACTTCAGAGATGAGATCAAGTACGTTCGAAATCCCATCATTAATTTAATAATTTAGTATTAGTTTTATTCGGTAAAATTAAAAATTTGAAGATTTTCTATATGAAGATTTTGTTTTTGAATACTGGGAATCCGAAGCTAACTTTCAACATATTAATATTCCGGGTTATAAATTAGATTTTTTTTACCGTCGTAGTTTGAACAAAGAACATGGTTGATGTAGCTATACTTTCTAGAAATAAATACAAGACTGAATTGAAAAAGTTGTATTTTCAGGAGTAATTAATTTTTTGGGAAAGAAAGTTTTTGGCTTTCTACTACTCCATATTGATACAAAAAAAATGTTGGAATCTTCCAAAGAAAAGAAGGAAGCAATCAATTTCA